TGTCAAGCCCTTGCCACAGCAGTGTCTTCACCAACTGGGCCCTAACTTGTCAGATTCATCATGTGTCACACTCCCCTAAGCACTTTTTAGTCTTTACACTATGTAGTACTTTCCAGAACATGCTCTGTGCTTTCTCCAGCCCCACACCTTAGTACAGGCTGTGCCCTTGGTCAGGAGTGTCCTCGTCTGATTGTCTTCCTAGGCTTACTTACTACCCCTCACTGCCACACCAATCTTGATAAGTTTGTTTATTATTTTTATAAGTTTATTGTAAAATGGATTAGCTTTACTTATAAATATTTAGGGCAAGGTTGTGTTATTGTGAGCATTCCCTTCAGGCAAAAGACCACTTTTTCGTCTTTGAATTTCTAGTGGCTGTCATAAAGGAGGTATTTAGTAAAGGCTTATTGAATGAATTAATGAAAGATCACACTAAATTAAACACTAAACAACTATCTATATTTGATTGAGGGCCTATGCAATGTGGTTAAGGGGATGGACTTAAAAGATAGAGTTAAAACAGATTCATTCTACCATTTTCATGTTACATTGAGCAAGATACCTTAAAATATGCTTAGATCTCTCATCTACTATTGCGACTAATTAATAATAGAATAGAATCCATTTTTGTGTGCTGTTGAGAGGATTAAATGAATACATATACAGAAAGTATTTAAAAGAGTTTTGGCAAATAATCACTCCATCAAGGTTAGTTACCAGTATTATTATTATGAAATTTATAAAAAAAAAAAAAGTAAGTAGAGGGGTACTTTATTTAAAGACCAGATCAGTTTTAAACACATCCACTATAATATGATCTGATGTCATAGTAACATTATTTTGGTTTTGTCTGCCCAGCATCCTTACCACCGTTTTCTCTAAAAACTCTCAGGTTTTTCTTGAGGAATCATGTTTCCCAACCCTGTGGTAGTTTCCAGGGTTAGCCACCCAACCCAGATGTGGCTGAAGAGAAACAGGTTTGGTTCAGGGCTGGGCTATAACCCAAGGTGGGCCACTGATACTCAGACTGGCACTTCTGCTGCAGCTGAGGTAAGGAATTAATGAGAACATGAATCTGCAGGTGGGAAGAAAACAGAGCCCAGAGATAGAGAGAGACACAATTCTTAACCACAGCATGTGACTTCCTGGGCCCTGCTGAGTTTTTTCTTTGTTTGAATATGCAATAGCCAGGAAATCATATTTTCAACTTCACTCAGTTTACTGGGGCTTTGGTACCACAATCCAGTGTCCTGAGCCATGTGATTACCACCATTATAAAGGTGAATGTGTTGATGTTAACTCATTATCTCGTTGAGTCCTACATGGATTTTAAGGTGTCATTGTAAAGAAACTAGTTTACACCATGAATTTTTGTCCAGATGAATATGGGGATTTATCAAAGAATCATAGTATCTTCATACTTGGTGGCCAGAGAGCAGTAAATACAAGACCCTAGAAATTGCTCCTCTAACTTTGTATGTGCATGGAGATCCTTGAGAAACTTATAGAAAAGGCAGGTTCTGAGGCTCCACCCAAAAATTCTGCAGCAGGCTAAGGAATCTGAATTTCTCATGCACACCCCAAAGATGTGGATAGTTCAGTAATGCTGGCTGTCCACTTTGAGAAATACCACCCTAGAGAGTCCAATTTTGTTTCGGTGTTGTAGGCCAGTGGTCAGCAAATCCATTAGTCAACACAGCTAACTATCAACAGTACAAGGATTGAAATTTCTTTTGAGATCCATTTTTTTTTAAACTTAAACTTCTTCTAATGCCACTTCTTCAAAATAGACTCACCCAGGCCGTAGTATTTTGTGGAAGAGCCACACTCAAGGGGCCAAAGAGCCGAATGTGGTTCAAGAGCCACAGTTTGCCGACCACGGTTGTAGGCAAATCTAGAGTACACAAATTCATAGGGAAGGAATCCCCAGAAAGTGACAAAATGCAGAAATTCCCATAATTATTTCAGAAAGTAAAATAACTTCAAAGGCAGCCTGAGTTTAAGTACTAATTCTGAAGCAAGTATTAAGAAATTTGGAACTGTCTCAGATCTACAACAGAGAGGAAGTGAGCATTATATCCAGTTATCTCTGTGGCTATTTTCTATAAAATAAAATAAAAAGAAGCAGTATGGAATAAAAACAATAATTTAGAAATTGATTTCAGGCTTATGGCATTATCAATTTCACTACAATAAACTATAGTAACTCTGCAGTAAATCATTGCAAACAATTAACAAAGATGACCTTTGAGAATTCATCTCAGTTTTTAACAGAGCAGCTATAATGAGCACAATTATAATAATTGGTAAGAAGCTTTTGCAACATTCCATAATACACAAAAGACAACATGGCAAAATGAAATAGATTGTTTTTTGAGGATAGCACATGGGTTTCACAAAGGAAATCTTACATTGACTGGGATGCATAAGGGGGTAATACAAAAGTCATTTGATGCTGCATCAGATACCCTGGGAATAAGAAAACCATTTCCAGATGTGTATCCATGTTTGTCTTTGTTAAGGGTCAGTGGTTACATAATGGCCAACGATGTGCCTACATCAGGGCAACTATCCAGCCCTTTCAACAGGGGTTTCCCAAGAGAATCAAGCCAAAATACTACAAAGCATCCATTGTATGCAATGGATGACTCTCCTATGCATGAAAATGGCATTAGCTTTGTACCATCCTTGGGAGAACTGAGAAAAGGGTCTCTCTAATCATTAACCTCTGAAATTGGAATGATGTACGTAGGGCTTAGTGGCCTTGTGAAACCCCGTTGAGAAAGGCTAACTGCCACTCCTTAAAAACTAAAACATATCCTCTGGGGTAAATAGCTATGTAACTGTTTTGATCCCAAGCAAAGTGGTCTCGTAAAAGTAAGTGGTTCATCAAGCAATTTGAAGTCTCACAAATGGAACCAGAAACTAGAAGAGGAATGTACTGTGCTCTCAGGTCATACTTTGCACATCAACATTCAACTCTGTTGCACACGTGTGCCCTGAGATTAACAATGTCAGTGGAACTCAACTGCAGTTCCACAGAACCACACAATAAAACTTTACAGCACAAATGTCTTGGACTTCATCCACAACCCTGAGCTGTTAAACTGCCACGTGCATTGCATTATGTGCAGATCCTATTCGCTCCAAGGAAAATACAGTAGTAGGACTTCAGCGGATTAACAAAATAAATTTTCCTTTGTTCTGTGCTGGGAGCTTTGTAAAAGGTTCACACGTTTATAAATGGGTTTCTACATGGAGACTGATCTTATGTGATCTTGATTTTTGTGTCAGACCCTGCTAACTGACCGTATCAGTATCCATTCTCCCTCCATTCCTGGCTAGTAGAATGCAGATTTTTAACTGCACACATTGGTAGAATGAAAGACTACATTTCCCAGTTTCCATGCAGCTAGCTATAGCCAATGAATGTAAAACTAAGTGGAAATGTTGTATGTAAATAGGAAATATTTCACTGGAAGGGGTTCTCTTCTTTACCCTACAGCTATCAACCCCTCCCCTTCTTCTGCCCGGCAAAGAATGTGATCAATGGAAAACCGACAACCATGTTGAACATGGATGTGACCTTAAGTGTGGAAGCCATGCAGAATAATGGAATGGAGAGATAAAACCATCTGTCTACTCTACCATATTGCCGCCCTACTCCCTGGGCTGTCAACTCCAGACTCCTTTAACACCAGAGAGCAAGACATTTCCATCATGCATCGGCCTTTGTTGTCTTGAGTTTTCTGTTTCAAGTGGCAGAACCTAAACCCAATTAGTATAATTTGCATGCAGTTTCTCATTCAGCAAAGGCAAGGTGAATTAAGAAACTAATTTGGATTAGATTTTTGAACTGGTTTGCAACCTCTGAAATTGGAATGATGTACGTAGGGCAAATAAAAGGAAGCACTACTTTATCTAAGTGCTAATAGGCATATGGAAACAGCTTTTTTACTGGTTATAAATGTATATAATTAAAGAGGAATTCAGATCAATAATAGGTAAAGAAAATAAATCAGTACAATGTGTGGTATAAATGAAAATTAGTAAAATTAGTATTATGGTAGAGAGTATACCATCTAATATAGACTATCAAAAGTATCAAGCCAGAAAAGGTATAAATTGAAGTCTGACATGCAGACATCCATGTGTCTTTTTTAATTTGTATTTTGGTTCTTGATACCTTTATGTGACCAATTTATTCTATACGTAGTTAAATAATCCACTTCTTGGTTGATGGACGACTTTGGTCTTTTAGCTTTTATGTATAGCAGACAAACATCTTAGAAAAATCCCCAGGACAATAGAAAATTATTAACATGCTTTTGATGTCCAGTGAGTCCTTTCAAGTCTGATTTTCACTCTGTACTCTTGAAAAGACATTAACATATTTTAAATGGACTCAGCAAAAAGGAATGAAAGCACAAGATTGTATTTCAAACAAAGTCTATTTCTTAGATTGTTTCTGATCATCCAGGCAGAAATTTCATTTCAGTCTTGCTCTAAATAATAAGAATTTGTGGTTATTATGATTATTTGTTCAGTAATATTTGGGTAAGGAAAATATTTATGTTAAATATTCCACTAGGAGATTAGAGATACCCAAACTCGTGTCTATTCCAATGTTAGGTGGACCTCTGGGAAAGTGTTAAGACCCATCACTTCTGTGTAATCTCCGTAATATTCTTTTAATACCTGCAAAGCTGTGTTCTGTCTTCATATGCAAATATCTTTCATTGTGGTTATGTAAATTATCAGTGCACATTATTTATTCTTCACTCTAACAACATAAGGCAGAGTATAGATATCTAATTTAGAGTGATTTACTCATTGTCTTCTCAATTAGCTGCTGGATACTCTTCTTTATGTTAAGCACAAGGGTGAAAAGATTTTAGATGTTTAAAAGGATTCTATTTCTAAAAAATAATTTTTTTCTATCCCTAACTTTTTTTATTATAAATATATATGATTGAGATGGCAAGATAAAGATACATTACCCCTGTGACATCCATAACCTTAATGGCTGCAAGCTGGCCTGTTTTGACATGGCGACCCTGTATGAAAAAGATAAAATAAAGAGGATTTTAGTTCTGATGAGCAATATTATCATTCCCACTGGGAAGAACAATATTACCTAGATTAATGTTACAGAATGCCAATAAGGAAGACAGACGGATACACACACACACACACACACACACACGCATACACACACACATCTTAAATGCTTTGAGATCAATTTCTATTTAGTGTTTATTTTGTAAAACATCTCCATCACTTTGTCTTTTGGGCTTGTTTTCACACTAGTTGTCAAGTTAAATAAAAAAGGCAATGCTGAATAATTTGGTTCTACCTCCCCTCCAAAGTGTTAGATGAGGGCTTGTGTGAGAGGTGGATTTGTGTGGAAGGGGAGCCAGACCTAACTGGAGGAGACACAGTATTTCCTCTGTCCAAAAATCCTCACTATGTAAAGGGACTTTAGTGTCCTTGATGATTAAAGTATCTTGTAACGGTCTGAATTGGTTGTTGGTACTTCCAATTTAGTAACTGCTATAATGTCATTGACAGTGACAATGAAAAAGACAATATCCTTGTTTGCCATTTTAAATTTCACTGCCAAGCTGAAATAAGAGTTCCCGATGGGTCTGACAGAAGACTGACTAATACAGCTCTGGGATGGCAGCTTCAGCTAAATTGAGAACCTGGAGATGGAACAATTAGCAGGCTCAGCTCAGGCCCAAGCAACAGGCATCCCCAGGGCCTGGCAACAGGAGGGCAGCGGAGCTGTCAACCTTTGAAGGGGGAGGGCCCCGAAGGAGGCTGCCTGGCTTGAGTGGCCTTTTACATCACTGGAGAATGTCAAACCTAATTAGGGTCCAGATTGAGAAAGACTGTGAAGGACTGGCCAGGAGTTAGCTGACCCAGAGATCACTAGAAACCGGAGGCACAGCCATTGCTGAGACAGTGGTTAGAGAATCAACTTCATAAAATCACAAATAAATTGCACAGGAAGAACCAGCCCTTCATCCAATACCCTTCTTTCAGAGAGAGGCCGAATCTCACAACTAATAAGGACCTAAAATCCTGGACACTTATCCTGCTTCTGCCCTCCAGATCCTGAATTTAAAATTCTTATGATGAAAATGAGAAGAAAAAAAAAGATTTTTAAGCAAACTTTCTTCTCATATTTTACTTGAGTTAAACATTGAGACATTCATCTCTCATGTAGGATTTTACTTTTTTAATTTGAGGACAAAGCAAAAAGGATGTTATTAAAGGAGACATTTGAAGTGAAAATGTAATATTACTCCTAATTTTACTTCCATTTATGAGAGCAATGAAAAATATAAACCTAGACTCTATACCTCAGTTTGGATCTAAAAACACACATTCAACTAAGGACTAAAAATTAAATTCTGAGGGAGGTGGAATACTTTAAAGGAAGACAAAGAGTTACATTTTCCCCCACAAAAAGTAGAAGAAAAAAAAAAATCCTGTCAGAGTGCAATTGCTGAGTCATTTCTTAATAAAAGAAAGAAGTAAAATTCTCTTCTTCTGAAATAACAATAACAAAAATAACAGACTAAATCTAGAAAAACAAAACTAAAATTCCAGTAGCACCCAAAGCCTTATGTCAATCTTTTCCTCAAGAGTACAAGGCCTGTCCACAAGGAAAGAGGGAGAAAGCACAGCAAACTGATGAAAGCAGAGCTGGCAGGCGCAGGCCAGTCTGGTCCTCTGCGGCCCTTCTTCCTTTCTTCTACCTCGAGTTTGAGGTAAAGAGCTGAGCTGATGCTTGTTCCTTACAGAGTAATTCAACATCAAGGTGAAATCTAAATCACTCAAGGATAGAGCACTCTACCTCCTCCCTAAAATGAATGCAAGAGAAAAACAATGGTTTTGTCGTGAAATAGCCATGAAAGCCTAGGCTTTGTTATAGCTGTTATTTATTTCCTAAGGAACAGCAAGATGGCTTTAGAGCTGCTAGCCTGAGGCTAGCCTGGAAGAAAGAGTATTTTCATTTCTAGGTCACTGAAATACATCTGTTTCCAGCTGACCACATGAGTAAGCGGGGTTGTGAAAATGCAGACATTCCACCCACTATCTCCTTCCCTTGTCCAAGGACTCACATCCGGTAAAATGTGAGAGTTCCTCGTTCTTAGCTTAGATTAGATCTAGCCTTTATTGAGGGAGATTTCTTCCATTTTCTAATTGCAGGTGATGGGCATAGTTTCATGTTTCTACAGCATTCTACACAAACACAACTAATCATATCCAATAGTGTGATTTTCAAAATGTGCATCTCAAGAACCATGAAAATAAACTCAAATAGAAAAAAAAAATCACAATGTGAGCATGCAGCAGTGGCAGTTGTTGCATGGATAGAATGTTACTGTACATCTGCTGTCTGTCTGTTGTCTACTATACATCCATCCATTCACCCATCCTTCTTTCCATTAATAACTGATGCTGTAGTACACCATTCAGATGGAATACTGAAGTACCCTACAGCTGTCAGCCAAGACCCTTTTTTTGGTCATTGGTCTCAGCCAAAAGAGCACTGTTCAAAGTCATGCTCCCTCCTAAAGATAACAGAATCCAATGGCAGGAATAAAAAGGCACAGACTTCTTGTCTCAAAGTAGGACAATTCTGAAGGGCCATCTCAGCTCCTGGCCACTCCAAGGGATGGCTGAGGTCTTTGTTGAGACTGAATTGCAGTTAAGCTCTTTCCTCTGCACAATTCTACTCTCTTCACAGCTCTAGAGCCTAAGAACACTCCCCAGTAAAATTCCTACGTATCAGTCAATAAATCGGGATATGTTCCAGAGGAACCCTCCCTCAGACAGTTGGTTCCAGGAATGACCCTTATCACTGGTGGCAGGTGGCTTATTGACTGCTCCTGACATACTGTAGCTGTGTGGCTGTCAAATGTTCACTAGTGGGGAACAGGAGTAGGATACAGGTGACAGAGAGTACACTGATGAGTCCAATGTTTCATACTTTTAAGAGTGGAAATAATACTTTTTAAAAAAGGAATCAGATAGTTTGTACTAAGAGACACTTACGTACTGGAGAAAGACAAAGAAAAGCTAAGGGTGATTAGTCACCAACTGAAGGCAATGTGTGAAAATCATAAAGGAGCTGAGGTTAAATCCTGAGATCTGTGCACTGTCTTCAATCAAGATGGGAACATCACACCTGTAGGCTCAGTGTGTTCATTCCAAGTTTCAGAGTCTCATTCCTTCTGAATCAGGCTGGAGTTGAGGGTTACACCTCTTACTCTACCCTGATCATTAATTCCTGGGTCTGGTCCTCAGCTTTTTCTACTCTCTGGCTACAGAGGATTCAGGTCTTTTGTTATATATCCAGGCTGCAGTCAAGCCTGAGAAAGCCATGTTGAGCTCAGACATCTCAGTAATGAGGATCTGGGTCCTTCCAACAAGACCACCATCTAGATCAGCAAAGATTCTAACCAAGATGGGGAGGGAGGGCTAAAATGAGAAGGAGATGATGAGCATCAGTGCAACCATTATACATTATGCAATGGTGAGGGCTTCTACCTTTGCCTAGGAAAAGAGATCAGCCAGAATCCTAGAGGAGCTGTTTCCAGAACTTACTATACCAAGCAAGAAGACCAAAGTAACACAAGAGACTGACGTTGTATACAACTGTAATGTGGCCCCCAATCCCTTCTTCAGGAATGAGGTTCTCTAAGTCTCTCTCCAGGAATTTACTCTAGCCAAACACAGCAGGTGGACCCAAGGGCATGCTCCCTGCCTTAACCAATGCCCTTTGCCTGGAGGCAGCAAGCAGACAATGACTTGTTGGCATAGGAATATAAAAGCCTACACCCCTTATATCCAAGTGGAGCAAGGTTGAAGGGAAGGGGCATATCAGCTCCAGAGCTCCCTTTCTGGATTCGCTTGGGGCTTTGTAGCTGCATTCAACTCCTTCCACTGCCCAAATCTGTCTTTGCTCTCTCACAGGTGTTGATACAGCACTCCCCAAAAGACACCTACAAGCAAACATCTGTCCTCACAATCTGTTCCCTAGGGAACTCAATCAAAGACTCTATGTATCCATCTACCTACTTATCTACCTTCCTACCTATATATTAGTAGTATGTGTACTCTTGATATTAATGTAAAAGAATATATTTCTTACTCCATCTGGGGTAAATTTTTTTTAAAAGCTCTGACCTAAAAGATGAATATAACAAACTATTGTAGTTAAGCTTTGGGTAGTATACTCCAGATTAAAAACAAACAAACAAACAAACAAACCAAAAAGAAACAAACCAAAACAAAAAACCACCCAGGCATGTTCAAAGCCCCTGTTGTGTAGTTAGAGCATCTGAGTAATTAAAAGCAGGCCAGTATGGCTGGAGTAGAGAGTAAGTGTCTAGCAAGGACTTCACAGGCCACTTTGAGGAGGTCTGTCTTTATCCTAAGACCAATGGGCAGCCACTGAAAGGTTTGAAGCAAGGGTGTAAAGTGCTCAAGTCTCATTTTGCAAAGAATGTCCTAGGGGCAGAAAAGATGATGGAAAAATAACAATTATAATGCTACTTAGTAATTCATTTGAGATATGATGGTGACTTGAGCTGGGATCGAAGTTACAAAGACGGCCAGTAGTAGACAGAGTCAAAAAAAGATATTCAGGAGGTCAAATCAGCAAGATTTCTAAGTAAGTCAGATATATATTGACCCTACACTTCCCACAATGCCTGACACAGCAGGGATCCAATAAATATTTGCTAGATAACAGATTGAATAAAGTAGTGAGATTTGAGGGTTGTATTCAGGTTCTTGGTCAATACCATCCTATGTCCCATCCCCACCCACTACCCACATTTCTGTCCAGCGGCAAAGTGGATAGCGGCAGACGAGGTGGGGTGGTAAGCAGGAATTCCAGGCATTTCACCCCAAATAAGTTAGAAGATGAATTTAGTGGATGAGGGTCCTTTACATTTTACAGAGACCTTAATTTACCCCTCCACAGATCACAGAGAAACTAGAAATTGGTTTTAGCTCTTTCCTTCTGAACTGTGAT